ACAGTTGGTCTGCCAACCGCCATAAAACAATACTAGAAGAAGAAGAAAGAAATGAAAACAAGCGGCACGTGGTTCAACATGGCGGCGCCCTCTGGACTCCCGGAGCGAGCTTCGAGCAGCAGCGACGACGGAGACATTAAAAAGTGTCGGGAGGCAGTTTGGGAAACACAAGTGAACAAAAGAAAAGGTGAATGTTTGTGTTGAAAGACGAAGGTAAAATTCAGCCATTGATTTATTCCAGTCAAAGCTGTACGTTATCTGCAGCCAGCACACGAACAAGCGCGTTCATTTAGCAAATATATTTGTTTTTAAGATGAAGACAGCAGACACAGTGCGAGACAGTCAAAACGGTACGTGTTATATTTCACTGCTATATGATATAAAACATGTATTGTACATTTTAACTGCAGTTACATGAGCTCAGTGAGTTTTAGAAACACAAATGATTGACTTGATTCATGAACATAAATGTTTTTAGCTAAGTTCAACAATGTTCTGCCACAGTGTTGTGGCTGACCATGAACATGATGGCAGCCAGCTCCAGGTCACCACAGGGTTTCAAACACACGTGGCTACAAAGCTGGAACAGTTTCTCGACAGGTAACTTGTCAGGCAGCAGGACTTGTAATGTGGATTCAAGGAAACCAGACTTTAATCTGCATCTTTTATCTGGAAGTTGCATTTCAGAGCTGCAGTCTGAAACCTCACACGGTTTGGAATCGACAAACCGTGGTCACGATAATCAGGATGAGACAAACCGTGGTCACGATAATCAGGATGAAGGTCAGTATTTGCCTTTTTAACAGATTTTTGCGGTTTGTTTCATGTCTTTAAACTTTTTTTTGTTGTTCTATTTTAGGATTTCGTCTGTTCTCCACATCCGTCCCAGGACAGAAAGCTGACCATCCTCCAGCTCCTGCGAGGCGTCGTCCTGCTCCCAGCTCAAGGTTCTTCACTTGTATTTTAGGTTTTAGAAGTTTCACAGCTTTTGTCCTCAGTCATGTAACGTCCGCCGTCCTTCTGCCTCAGCGACAGCGACAGTGAGATGGAGATGAGGCTGAAGGAGGCAGCGGTGCCTCTGAAGGATCTGTTCCCCTCTACGCCGACTACAGAGACCCCCGGCTCGGAAACGATGCTGGCCCACCAAGTCGAAAAAGAGGGTGAGATTATCAAGAAAAAGAGGAAACGGAACGATGAAGAGAGTGAACATGTGGACTCAGCAGGTTCTGCTCCTGATCACAGCAGCGGTGAGCGCAGGAGCTCCGAGCTGGAACACGCACGTGTCCAAGTCGAACGAAAGAAGAAAGAGAAGCGAAAAGAAGCTGAGTTTTTATAACCTTTACAGCTTGTTTCGGCCTTCCACGCTCTGTTGAAGTGGATGGTTTGTGGTGGTTTCTAGATATTTGAATAATAAAGGAGGAACTCGGTCTGTAAGTTTAAAAAAAATAACTTTACACACATTGTTCAGGTTTTTGAAACGGTCGTTTTCTTAGACAGCGTTTGAAGATGGCTAACTTGAAACAAATGCATGCGGCATACAGTTTTCAAACTTCTTCTTTTCTGAGCTTTACAAAATGTTTGAATTAAAAAAGCGTGTTTAGGTGTTGATCTTGAGTTAATTCCTCGCTGCTTCTGTGGGGAGCTCGTCTTCACAGCTGCACTTGTACAGAATTTGAGTCAGACACTCGTTGTGGTCCTCCGTCTCCAGGTTGTTTTGGGTGGGGGGTGTTGTCCAGACGTAGCTGTCCTTCTCAGACGCCATCACGCTTAGAGTCCAGCTGACAGGCAGGAGATGCTGCGCTGCCCGGGGAGTTTTCCTGCTTCACTGAGCGCTGGAGACCATTTGTGTAGGCATGTAGGAGCTGATATCTGTCGGTGAAGGTGAGAGGATGTGAGTCTGATGGCGCTCTGCCAGCTGAGAAGAAGGATACAGCTCCAGGCCCTCAGAGGAGACTGAGAATAGAACGAAAACAAAAGTTTATCATTGAATTTTGTCAAAATTTGGACATGAAGTTACAAATATTACAATGATTTGAATAAAAACAGCTGTGGCTGGAGCTTTGTGATCGTTTGTCAAAAAAAACAAATATTGATGCAGCGGCACTCTACTAGGTTCTGCATAAGTGGAGGATTTAGAAAAAGAGGCTAACCTTAAGTATCAGTTTCACAAATGAAGGTTTTTAGTGTCTGTGTGTGCTTTTGGTTCTAGCATTAGCAAAATATCTCATGAACCAGCACACAGATTTTAATTAAACTTGTAAAGTAACCATTGCGTGTACATCTACAGCTGATTTAATTTGGAGTCTGTTCTATTTAAAATGGCTGCAACAGCTGAGCAAGTTTAGCAAACCCAAAATGTCTGTAACTCGGCTGATGTTATAAATGTTGAGCTGAAACTTGGTGTGTTCGTAGTCGAGTGTTTTTCAGCCTTTGAAGGCTCGCGTAAGATCTCACAATATTTCCTGAGATCTCGCATGTTGTTTAAAAGGTTTGACCTTAACTAGATCTCCTCCAGATGAGCTCAGCCTCAATCTCTGGGATGAAAGGCAGCGGGCGATATGCATTCCTTCAAAGAATGCTAGGATTTTAATTAGGCCTGTCGCAAGAAATCAATTAATCGCACGATAAATGAAAATTATTGACCTCATTTTCATTTATCGACTTTTATCGTTTCTTCACGTGTCTCTCTACTGAAGACACTGGATGACAAAAGGCTCAACTCCGGTGCTCTTCACTGACCCCCCGTCTCTTTAAAATCTGTTTTAACAATCCAAAATCACATTTTTGTATTAAAAGCAGCTAAGCTACGAGCTAAGCTACAAGCTAAGCTAACGGCCGACCTCGGTGAAAAAAACCTGTTTATTCGAAGCTCCAAAATTCACAGTTGAAACTTGTGCCTTTGTGTAAAAAGTTGTTTTTCTCTGCAAAACAAAGCTGAGAACTTGTTTACTGTTTTTTTTTTTATTAAAAGGTTTGTGTGGAAAATGCTATGCTAAAGAGCTCAAACCACACCGAGCGGCCGCCATTTTGAGAACCGTAGAGAGACAGCCCATGTCGCATCAAGAGGCTTCCCTCCCATTTACTTGCTGCTCACTCCCTCACTATCCATCCTTCGGTTCAGTCTTATACTGCCATCCGGTGGTCGAAAAAGGTACTGTACACAAAAAAAATTAACCAACATTTCTTCTTAAATTTGACAATTACTAATTATCGTCAAATTTCAAACAATATGATCGGTTATTACAATAATTTCTGAGACTATTAATCACACATAATTTTATTTTTATTGTGACAGGCCTAATTTTAATTAGTTTTAATAATCTGTAGAAAGTTTCTGAAGATGTATAGAACTTTAATTTAAAAAGTTGATTTCAGTGTAAACAGGGAAATGAAAAATCTGTAGTTTGTACAAAAATAAGGTTCTTTACAGCCGGTGCTTAAAAAAAAAATCAATGTTTCTCTTTTTTTAATTATTCTGCATTAGAGCTGCATAAATTCATTGCCATCACAATATTTCCAGTAAGCCTAAACTTAAACGATTGTCCCTTATATTTCAAGCACCATGTGTATATGTGCTGCTGCTGTTATATTTGATCAATCCACTGGACTTTGCCTTAATGCACACACCTGGTTTAGATATTAGAGATACCAGAAGAGAAAGTAGGGGAAATGTGAGTTTATCGCAATAATTTTGTCATCACAATGTTAACAATATTAATATATCAAGTTTTTCTAATATGAGCGGCTCTACACAGTCTTACACATTACACATCTCTAACATTAAATTCAGAATTAGCATAAATCTTGAAAAGTTGAACCTTTTTTATTACAGTTTTTAACAGTTAAGTTTGTTTTTTACAACTTTATGCCAAATAGACAGTTTTTTTGTGTTAAACCTGTTGAAAAGTGTTAAGTGTCTGTTGTATTTTTGATACACTAGCCTCATGGTTTAGAAGATAATTTGACAGGAAAAAGACAAAGAGGAAGTCCACAGAGGACACATAGTTGGAGTGAGGACAGAGGATGCAGAGGACAGAGATGGAGGAGGAGGACTCGCTGTGGAGACCCCTGAAGAGGGGAAAACAAAGAAATGGTAGTCATGGTTACGTTCATCTTCATTACTGCATTTGTGCTTCAGCTAAAACTCTGGGACAAGTAAAGTACTGATCCAGTGATGACAGGTTTATTTCAGGTGAGAGGATGAGTTTGTGTCTCACCTGGCCCAGGTGTGTGTGGCTGCAGGTGTAATGAATCTTCCTGTAAAGGTGAGTCTGTCCCTTCCTCGGGATCTGCTGTGAGAATCTACCCAAAACAAAGTTCAACAACAGGGTTCAAAGACTGACTTCTCGAGACTCCCAGCAGAACCACCAGAACCAGTACCTGTCTGACTGCAGCGAGGCTGGTCAGGGTCCCCAGACTGCTGCTGTCTGTGATGAGCATGGCTTGAGACAGCAGGCTGGACGAGTGGTACTGGGGCGAGTCCGACTTGTACACTGTAACACAGGAGGCTGGTTCAGACGTGAACTCGTGGAAGAGGTTGCCCTCGTGTTGTGGAGGCTCTTACTGTGACATGGCAGCTGAGCCATGGTTGCCATGAAGGGGCTGGCAGCCATGTGACCCTGGAGCTGCTGTGATAATGGCTGCTGGTGGGAGGCGTGGAGCTGCTGCTGGAACGAGATCGGCTGGAGAGTGGTAAAACCTCCTCCCATGTTGTTTATAACGGGGACGGTCTGCGGCTGAGTGGAAGCTAGTCCTGTAAAACGTCAGACGTTACTCTAAGGAACTTTGTTCCCGCAAAGTAAAACCAGGAGTCTGTAATACCAATTAGAAGAGAGGACTCTCCTAGACTCATGACGCTTGGCACTGAAGCCATGATGAGGCTCTGTGAAGATGCAGGGGAGGCAGACAGACTGTGCAAGGAGGTCAGAGTGCTTACTGGGGGCAGGGGACCATTGCTGGACACCTGCAACCAGAGGAGAGCATGATGCGTGACCATGACAGATCCATGCAGCAAGGAACGGTGAAGGAGCACACACTCACCAGCTTTGGGTGATGGGTCTCCAGTAGTGTGTGGCTGGGTTCCAGTTGGACAGGACTCACTACAAGGCGCCCCACTCGCTCACCGGTGCTGCTTCTAACCGAGCTAACTGTGTCACATGTGATTTGCTGGTTGTATTTCACTCCTGGAGAAGAACACTAGTCAGTACCAGAACCAAGGTGGTCTAAAAAAGACTTGGTGCTTCTAAAACAAGTTGCATCACCAGAACGCTTCCTCGCCTCATGATACAGGAAACACTGTTTTAGCTTTAAAGCTTCACTGCCTCAACCTTCCAGCTTGTTTGATCAATGAGGATGTTTTACCGTGCTCAGGACTCTGTGGAAGGGCGGGGTTGGAGGAGGACGCTGATTGGGAGGTGAACGACGTGTCGAGGGCCAGCTTGTGACGGAAGGCCTCCTCTTTACGGCGGTTGGCGAACCAGTTGTACACTCGGACTTCAGTGACCAGGTTGGAGCCCAGACCAGCAAGCTGGGAGGGAGACACCCCCCGCTGGAGACACTCCGCCCTGAAAAAGGAAGCGCGCTCACTGATACACGGCTTCACATTTTAGAGAAACACGTGCTGACTTCACAAAATTACAAAAAAATAGCTCCGCAGCCTTGAATCTAACAACAGCCGAAGAACGTTTGAAATGACAGAAGTACTTTTTATCACAAATATAAGAAGCTGTCAGATGCTGTGCTCTAGTTTTAGATTAGATTAAGATTACGGTTAATCTAGTAAATAGATTCCAGGAAACGCAGGCAATGTCTGATTAAGACAAACCAGTCAAAATGACATCCTGCCCCACCTGTTACACTCTTCCACCAACCCCTCTCTTTCCTCCTTGCTGGGGTTCTTCTGTCGTTCGTAGGCGTTGAAGAGGATCTGCAGGGACGCTGGACCCCACTTGAACCTGTTCCTTCGTCCTTTCTTGGTTTCCTCACCCTGATCTTCTACAGATGCAAGGCCGTGTTTGGCATTGGTAAACTCTGGAAGGAAATGTTTCTGTAACCAACTTGTTTCCTAAAGCAGAGAGAACTATGAATACAGTAGTCCCTCGTTTATCACAGGTGATCCGTAACCTGAAGCCCCACGATAAGTGAAAAAACACCAAGTAGGAATAGTACCGTATTTTCTGCCATACATGTCACTCTGCCCTATAAGTCGTATCAGTCTGTATTTGTCTAATAAAGTGTAAAAATCCATAAATATGTCGCTTCGAGGTATGCGTCACATCTATTATGCGTCACTGCTGACGCGTCGCGTTTGCTATGCGTCACCGCTGACAACCTGGAAATGTGGGCCGGTGGGCCAAAAATCGATGGGCTGCCAAATGGCGGGAGCGTGCACAGGAGGACTTTAACAAGACTTTAAGATTAACACTTAGAAACAATTATTTGTTTGCACAAAAAGGTGTCTGTTTAATTTTCCTTAATAAATGCACTTTGATGGTCAAATCAGCTGCATTTCAACAGCAAATACGCAGAAGTAAACATGTGCACACAACGAGTCGCTGTGCAAATTTAACAAGATAAACGCCTAAAAACAATTATTTGTTTGCTCGAAATTATAGCAAAGTTGTGTCTCAGTTTAACGTTCTGCTTACTGCACTTTAATGGTCAAATCAGCTGCATTTTGCCGGGGTGGTACTGCTGGTTTGACGGTTCCAAACAGTCAGCAGAATGAAGGTGGGGGGGATTATGGCAAGCGGATTGTGTCATTAATAGCTACTGAAGATTCAAAGTCATCCAGGACAAATAAAATTTAAAAAATAGTTAAAGAATAAAACAATAAAGTAAAGTCAATAAAGTACATGCTCAATAATCCAGGTATACAATCCAACAATTTTCAGTCAGGTCATCTGGACAGTTTCTTTTTTTTGTGCTGAAACGTTTCACCTTCCATCCAGAAGACGTCATCAGAAAATTGTTGGATTGTATACCTGGATTATTGAGCATTGGCTTTGTTTTTTTTAACCATTTTAACATTAGTGTCGATGAGGAAGAGGGCCGGCATCGGAGGAGGGGGCGTGCCAAAGACACCATCTTAGCACCAACATAACTGTTTTGTTCCACTTTGGAGTAAGCTGTTTGGGAGAAGAATCAGTTTTGTGTTGTGTTTCCTTGACTGATGAAGCCTTCTGGATGAAGGTGAAACATTTCAGCACAAAAAAAAAAAAAAAAAGAAACTGTCCAGATGACCTGACTGACAATTGTTGGAATAAAGTATAATAAATAAAGTCCAGTTGTTTTTTTGTCTTGAACTTTTTCATTATAGCCACGTTTACCTATTGCATGATACAACGGCATGCCATACTGCTATTACGATTCTGCTGCCATCAAGTGGCTGAAAGTGGTACTGCTTTTTTGTCAGAATGAATGAAAATTGTCATATCAGTCAAAAAATGGTTTATAAATATGGGAAAAAATTCCATAAATATGTCGCTTCGGCCTATAAGCCACAGGGCATATAAATTATGCAAAAAACTGCGACTCATAGGGTGGAAAATATGTTAGTACAAGTGGTAAGTAGTGGTTTATTTTAGTATTATATATATATGTATATATATGTATATGGCGTTTTAAATCTTCCCAAACTCTTGCAATAGTCTAAGCAATGTTTCTAAACTCTAAAAGAGCACAGAATGTCATGATCTCAGCTCCTTGCCTCCTCTGCATTTTGCCACCTGCAAGCGTTTTTTGGCCACGCCCACTTCTCCACTCTTCACGGAAATAAGTTGATCAGCCGCAGCAGGAAGCTTTTCCTGCAGTGTGGACTGCTCAAAGGTGCTAAATAATTTAAAATAATTTATTTAAAATAAAAATTCCCTGCCGATCGTGCGGCTCGTCCATCAATCAGCCAATTGTGTCATGTCCAATCTTATTTCGAAAAACCGCGATAGAGCGAGTCCGTGATAAACAAACCGCGAAGTAGCGAGGGACTACTGTACTTGGAAAAACGCGGCTCGTGTACTCACGCTGGCTGATCTCGCACTGCTTCTTCACGTACCAGGTGTACAGAGAAGCTCTCTTCTGGTTCTTCATGGGTGTGCCTTTGTTGAGGTGCTGGGAGAGGTGGGACTGGTTGAGTCCCGTGGACTCCACCACCTCTCTCTGAGGTAGGTTGTGCTGCTGCATGTAGCTTTTCACCATTTTTGCTACATGCCAGGGGTCCTCCCTGTGCGGCAGAGGGGAAATAATCTTATATACTATCACTGTTTGTGCAGGGGGAGCAGCTGCATTTGAATACTTTCATACTTCTAGTACTTTAGTTATTTGCTATTTGTTTTATATTTGTAATGTTAAATATAACACGCTGTCAGTTTAAATGAAACTTTTTCTCTTTTTTTTTTTACTGCTGAACTGTGAAGTGAAAGTGATGTTTGGGTCAGATTGCAGGTGAGATGCTAAAAGATTTATAAATCTCAACTTTCTCTTTAAATGACGTACAAATGTCTCACCAAAAACTTTACATATATGAAAAACATTTTAGGCTAAACTTTTTTTTTCTGCTGCTTTTCTCTATAATTATCTCACAGCCATATGTGGATACAGATGTAAATTTAACTTTATAAAATCCAGCAGTAGCTGCTCACACACTTGTGTTTATTATTTACTAGAATTATGTCGTGCATGAAACATCCACCAACAGGACTAGGCTAGTACTTTTATTATATTAAATATATTTAGTTATAATTATACCCTTTATATGCAGGAGCTTAAGTCAAAGTTTCCTCATTTGTCATTCGCACCACATGTGGTACATGTGGTGGAACAAAATTGTGTACACAGGGTCCCACTTGCATCCAACAGAAGTATAAATTGTAAAGAAAAACACAGTAATAAGATCTAAGATATGAACTGAGAATGCACTAAGCACTACTAGTACAAAAACAATACACCCAACAGCAGCACGAACATGAGTCTGTGTGAGCAGATGAGTACAAACTAAGTACATTAAGTATTAAATACTTATGAATTAAGTGATGCTACGTAGATATACTTTCATCTCTAAAATCTGCTGATGTTTTTCACAGCGGCACATTTTGTACTTTAAGCTTGGCTCACGTAGCTAAAAACGTGACAGAGAAGCGTGCACATATTTGTGTTCTTGTGTTCCTGACAGTTTATCTGCAGCAGCGCTGAACAGACTGTGACAACATCAGGCTCAAAGTATGGCCACTCGGAGGGAAGTTGCAGAGGGGCTTATTGACAGAGCAAGATAAGAGAAAGCACACAGGAGCAAAGTCCGACTCTTTCTGATCGCTGGAGGGGAAAAAAAACACGAAACGTTTATGAGGTTTACTTCACTTCTGTCCAGAGTCATAAAAATGCACAATATTTGAAACTTCCTAAATTTAAGCAGCTCCTTTTCCCGACCAACATCAACTGTAATGAACATTTTATGAGCATTTTTTTTTAATAGAAAGTGTAGATTTTCACAAATGAAGTACTTGTTAAATGAATGCATCTATTCTAAACTTTCCAAAGACTTGAAGCTGGGTGCAGAGATGTTGCCCAAGTCTTGTGCAAACATGGTCTCATGACTGGCCCTGCTCCATTAATCTTCACCTACCTGTATGCATATAGCTTATTTATTAAGAAGTGGCAACGGAATAATGATGGGGGTGGGTAATTAGTAACTAGCAAAGGAGGAACCCTCTTTAAATTCGCCCCAGGAGTCAGGTTGTAGAGAGAGAAAGGGAGAAGCGTGTGAAGAAGGAAGAATTTGTTGAAAGAGAAGTGGCTGGAGCTGCAGAAGATGTTCGCTGCTTGAACAATACTTGTCTTTGGTGCACAGGACACTACAAAGGAGGAGGGGAATGTCCACAGTTTACAAAAAAAAAAAAAAAAAAATGTAGCGGACACAAAAACTGCTGCCTTGGCGCAGCACTTAGACCTTTTAAGATGTTTTTTCTGTTGCCGTGGAGATGTCAGAGAACTATGGGATGTACTCACTGCAGTAACCGGTCGACTTCAGCCCTGAGTTTGGACGCCTCGTCCGGAGAAAGCTTTTCCAGTTCTCGGAATATAGGTGGAGGGAAGTCCATCTCTCCCTCCTCGGAGCTCTCTCCGTCTCCCTTCTCTCCCCTCTCAGCCCCAGCGCTGGTCTTGCTTCGCTCCAGGTCCCCCATGGCTTGGACCAGGACGTCCCGGGACAGTCCAGATTCCAGCAGGGCCCATATGAGCTGCTCCTGAAGGGCAGTCAGACGACTCGGCCAGGTTTTCGCTGCCGTCTCCTCTCCGTCCATTCGTCCTGTCTCTTCTGAACACCTCTGCTCCTCAAACAAACCGGGCTCTGGGTCGCTCTGGGTCGCTCTGCTACGCTCAAACAGCAGCCACACAGCCAGCCTCGGGCCTCATTACTACACGAGCGGCCCCTCTTCAAGTTAAGAGAAATACTTTCATTTTTCTCTTTTGAATTTCCTCCCGATGTGTCTTGAGCTGCCTGGTCCACCTGCTGTTTTGCTTTCAAAGGTCAATTTTCCTTTTTTTTAACCTTCCTCCTCTTCACCCCCTCCTCCTTACAAGCCTCCTGTGAACTTTGTCCCCTCTCCCTCAGGCCCCAGCAGTGGCCAAAGTGCAATTTTAAAACAATAAATAAAAGTGAGCAACGTTACATTTGCTGCTGGGATGTCACAGGAAGACGACACAAATGAGAAGTTGTACAATGAAGGTTGCACCGCTTGTGAGCACGTGTCCCTTTTTATTGGGAAGTGCACTTTTGAGGTGTTTTATGACATTTTATTTTTACACCGTAATTTATTTATTTTTTACTTGAGGTAAAGGAGAAATTTTTATTTAAACCTCAGTTTTAGACCAAATAGTTGAGCATATTGTACATAACTAGATGAAAGTCAACTTGTTCTTTGTTTCCAGTAGAGGGAAGTGTTGTGTCATAAATCAGCCTGTCCCACTTTCAGGAGTCACTGTGTGAGAGGTGGGGGACCATAGACATAGCACAGTTCCACAGTGTTTTAAATTAATCCCTGTCATTCACTCACACTAATATACTATATTTGGAAAACAAATAGGCACCAAAGTCAACATTTGCAACTTTGAACATGATTATTAAAAATGTTTACTCCTTAAATATTTAGGTTAAAGGTAAGCACTAAACCAACATGTATTATTCTGAGTGTTTACAACTACTAACGTGTGCAACAGTATTGCTGTGGTGATAAATATAGAAATATTCATATTTAACATTTAATCTGTGTCTATAATAACCAGATCCTGAAATGGAGATGTGACGTGGATTTCCAGAATAAAGAGCACTAACAACAAAATAAGGTTAAATCATGTCATCTGGACCAGTTTCCTTAAGTGAGAAAAGTTTTGTCCCCCATCCAGAGGACTTCCTCAGTCTAAAGCCTGCCAACCAAATTTGTCCCATAGGTATCCTTCTCAAAGTACATTTATATATGATAAAATTGATATGATATTTTTATATAAATCTGTCAGTCTATCTATTTATATACAGGTATATTCTATATAATGTGTATA